CGCTCTTCCCCCCCACCCTGTGAGCAGCACGCGACGCTTCAAAGCGCCACGTGCTCCTGGCAGGGTGAGGAGGCTTCGTGCGCTCCCCAGCCCCCAGGCCGTAATTGGCCTGGGGGAGGGGGAGCAGCAGGGCCTCCGCGGGCCGGATCCACCCACTTGGCAGGCCAGATCCAGCCTGTGGCGACCCCTTTGCCCACCCCTGTTATACAGCATCGCAGCCCATTGGACAGCTCCAGGAAGCTGCTGTAATTTTGAGAGGCTCTTGGGTTCTATCCAGACTCAGCCAGGGGACTGTGACAATGTGATTACACAAAAAGTCACAGCATGGATCCTTATTGTGGAGGTCTGAGAAAGGGAGTTCTGAGTAGCAGGTACAAGAGCTTGTAGTATCAGTACTGGTATGTACACAAGTGGTTGCAAACCATTTGCCTGATTCTTCTCTCTAGCCTGTGACAAATGGGCAGGAGGGGTCAACCAGTCAACAGGCTGATGTATGCATATTACACATTTTGCCTGTCCAAGAAAGTCTTCTAAAAGCTCCCATCACACCATCCCCAGTAAAGTCCCTTCAATAGGGCTTCCGAGTGTCTGGTATTGAACCGGACAGCCTGGTATTTGCACCTTGCATCCAGAAAAAACGTTCAGAAAATACCGGACATGTAAAATGCCCAGTATTTTCTTGGAAGGGCAGTTGGTACATGTGGTGCAGCTCGGACTAGCTGGGGCAGAGGGAGGGAGCAGGCTGGAATTAAAGGGGCCGCGACTGTATTTCAGCCCTGGTTAGTCCTGTTTTTTTTTTTTTTTTGGCTTCACAACTTTTGTTGTTTTTTTTTCTTTTTTTGCTCAACAGAATTTTTTCCCTTTTTTAAAAAAATTTTTTTTTTAAATTTTTTTAAAGGAGGTTCGGTATTTTTTGTTAAACCATCTGGCAAGCCTACCCTCCAAGGTTTCAGCCTACTTCTTCGGATGGGTTGTTCCTATCCCCTCCTTCAAGTTGCCAGGCAGTAGAAGTTTGTCTTCCGTAATAACTGTTACTAGGTAAGGTGTGGCTGCCTCTGCTGTTGCAGAGGATGCAGTAGGTATCATAGCATGAAAAATCCAAAAGGCATCTCTTGAACACAGCGCAAGGGAGAGAATTCTCTAAGGAGCCTCTTTTGTCTCTGGTGTAACTGGAAGCAACTCTGGGAGAGAGAAGGGCTGCCTAAGACTTCCCTAGCAACCATTAAATGGTTAAAAACTAACCTGATCACTAGGGATGTCAACATGTAGGTGACTATAAAATTAACTGATAAGCCTAGTCTACATATTCCCCAGGTGGTGCTTGCTGTACAGACAGTCTGTGAATTGGATGTGGGGGACCTGACCACCCCACCAACTGGCCAGTCACTAGCCCTGGCCAAAGAATACTTGCAAGGATGGCAGCTGAAATCAGTGGAATGTAGGCACCTAGCTCCCTTAAGCCACTTCTATACTATGCAGAAGATCGATACTGCTGCAGCTGATCTTCTGGGGTTCACTTTTAGTGGGTCTAGTGAGGACCCACTAAATCGAACTCAGAGGGCACCTATGTCGGTGCCAGTACTCTTGCTCCTCACACAGAGTAAGGGAAGCTGACAGGAGCGTAATTAACACAGCTGGAGTTGCGTATCTTAAGTCAACCTTCTACTCTAGTGTAGATCAGGTTTTAATGCTTCCTAACCCATCTCTCAGGAGCTGGGAGCACTCATTCATTAACATTGGCAGAGGGCTTTGATAATTAAAAATGTTCAGTTTTATTAAAGACTTAGAGGTTGCTGGTGTTGTGACTGCTAATCAAGAGTTTGGGAGGGTGCTATTAAAAGAGACTCTCCTTGTTTTAAGTGAAAACTTTTCTTTGGGTAGGGTCCATCCACTTTTCATTCTGAACTAGGGGATACACCAACAAAACTAGTTCAGTCCAAAATACAACTTTGGCTATTTTTCCCAAACTAATAGATGACAACACAAAATTGCAGTAAAACACTTCAGAATTATGGTACAATTTTTCATGTCTGGTTGTTGTCTATAAACCTTGGTTTTTAATCCTGGATTACAAGTGAATTATTAGACTACAAGTTTCTCCTGTTGAGTTGTATTGTTTCACGAACATGTGGAAACTGTAAAGACAAGAGTTTTTGTTTTCTGAAAAGAACACTGACAGTTAGCCCTCTGGATTGTGCTTTTCTCTAACCTGATCAGTTGAGAGCTGTGTGGATGGAGCTCTTACTTTAGGAAGTTGACAAACCATTTAAATCACTGCTGCAATAAGAGACAGAACACGACACCCGCGTTGAAATTCATTCCTTTCTGGAAGCTGAAGAGGATTGGGCAATAGGAATAAAAAGGTCTTTTGACCTCGTGAGGTTTCTGGAACTTGGACTGAGGGCAAAAAAATATTTGCAGTGCAGTCTGTAAACTCTGTTGGAAAAGTCAGGGTGTTAGCAACCCTCATCTCATTTGAGCAGCATTGCAGGCAGAAGATTAACAACATAGTTAGCCAAGTGGATCTTTTCTCAGTTTCCTTTGCTGCCAACTCCCCCCCTCAAGGATATAGAGGGGTGCAAAAGCTAATGCAGCCCCAGGAGGATTTATTATTGCTGGTGTCTAGAAGGATCAATGCACATTTTCCATTCCAGCCACATTTTGCTACTCCTGCTTCCACCTATGTGAAGATCCATAAGTGTAAGGGAGGGAGAGAAAAATAGTCCATGGAGGCAGTTGACTCTTGTCTTCTTACAGGGGAGTTATAGCCACCCCTAATATGGAGGAGCACAGCTGCCATGCACATAACTGAGTGCCAATGGCAAAGCCCCTGAGATGTCCATGGGTCTTAAGGATTCCTTAGCTTCTAGATCCGGAACCCCTATTCATTCTACAGAGGGAAAAAAGGGAAATGTTGTCTAGATGAAATTACTGTAAGGTAGGTTCACAACTCGTTGAAAGGCCCTACGCAAAAAGCAGTTATCAATGATTTGTTGCCAAACTTGGAGGATATAGCTGGTGGGATCACACAAGGCTCAGTGTTGGATCCAGTATTGTTCAATATTGTAATTAATGACTTGGATAATGAAGTTGAGAGCATGCTTATAAAATCTGCAGAGGACACCAAACTGGGAGGGTTTGCAAACACTTTTAGAAGACTGGGTTAGAACATAAAATTACCTTGGGAAATTGGAGAATTGGTCTGAAATCAGCCAGATAGAATTCAGTAAAGATGTGTGTAAAGTACACTTGGGAAAGAAAAATCAGTGCAAAAACTACAAAATTGGAAATAACTGGCTAGGGTAGGCAATAGTGTATTAAGAACAATCTGGGCAGAGTTCCGAAGACAGCAACACAAACGAGAAAAAAGTTAAGAAAACCTGATCTATGCGGAAAGAATTACAAAATTTTGCTTGCTTAGTCTTGAGAACAGAAGACTGAGGGGGAACTTGATAAGTCTTCAAATATATTAATATCTGTAATTGATAGAATACTAGAAGTGGAAGGGACCTTGAGAGGTCATCAAGTCCAATCCTCTGCTCTCAATTGTTCTCCACTGAAGGTATGACAAGAAATAATGGGCTTAATCTGTAGTAATGGAGACTTGGGTTAGACATTAGAAAGTTTTTCCTAACTCTAAGAAGAGTTACGTACTTGATTAGGCTACCAGAGGAGATTGTGAGGTCTCTGTTATTAAAGATTTTAAGAACAGGCTGATCAAACTCCTGTCTGGGATGTATTAGGTATATTGAGCTCTGGCCTAGATGACATTTTTAGGTCCCTTCCAGCTCTGTATGTCTATTATCCTATGAAAATCCTTCCCCTAATGGAATGATCTGGGGAAAATGTCTACATAGATGAGAGGTGAGCCCTTCCTATGCTCTCCCTACCCCTGCACACTGGTGGTAAGTGGGTGCATTTGACTTGTTTACGGTAAGTGTACCAAGGTGTGAAGACTTGTTTGTAACTTCAGAGCTGTCAGCTTCTCTCTCCCTCCATTTCCTTTTGCCTCTTCAGGAGGGAAGATGCCTCTATGTGATTCTTGTGATGGCCATTTATTGGTGCACAGAAGCCCTCCCTCTGGCTGTGACTGCTCTGCTGCCAATCACCTTGTTTCCATTTCTTGGGATTCTCCCTTCGAACAAAGTTTGCCCACAGTATTTTTTAGACACCAACTTCCTCTTTCTCAGTGGTTTAATCATGGCCTCCGCCATCGAAGAATGGAACCTGCACCGCAGAATTGCCTTGAAGGTCCTCATGCTAGTGGGAGTCCAGCCTGCAAGGTAACATACAGAGCAATGGTAATTGCCGCATGTAGTTGCATTCCCCTGATTTCAGTGAATGAGTTGAGCTGCAGACTGGCCAACATGCGTGTGCACTCTCTCTCTCTCTCTCTCTCTCTCTCTCTCTCTCCTGCTCCCCCCCACCCCCCAGAGCTTGCTGAAGGTTGTTTTTATTCCTTTGTTGGTTGGTAATGAAGCAGAGGAGAAATGTAGCTACTTCAGCCTTTTCGTATTAGCACTTATCCCTGTTTACATGCTCTGGCATATTATAGTATAGCCATAGCCAGCTTTGTTCCTATGTATTTTATGAGACTGGGGCATGGGATTTTCTCAGCTGGAGCCTAAAATTTACCTTGCAAAAACCACAGACTGTTAAACTTAATTTTTTTGCCTTCCAGGCTGATCTTAGGAATGATGTTGACAACGTCTTTCCTATCTATGTGGTTAAGCAATACAGCCTCCACTGCGATGATGCTTCCAATTGCAAATGCAATTCTAAAGAGCCTCTTTGGAGAGAAAGAAGCATCTAAAGATTTTAATAAAGAAAATGAAGAAAATCAAGGTAACTCACATAGAGCAATAAAATGCACAGTCTGGGGACAGACCTTTTCCAATTGGGCTCTGTGCCTAAATTTCCATTGCCTTCAGCAGGTCAAAATCAGTCCTGTTAGCTGAAGATTGATATATATTGGAATGCCCTTTTTAAGAGAATATGTTTCATTATGAAGGTAAAAGGGCATTGGAATATTACCCTTTCACATTGCTGCCTTTCATCCTGGCTCCTCCTTCTGTCATTCAGATCAGAATAGATTCCTATTAGTCACGGTGAACACTCTTTGGGAGCAGTGAGCTCCTGAATAAGGCCAGGTCTACACTACATGATAAATTTGATTTAAGATCTGCAACTCCAGCTATGAAAATTGGTTAGCTAGAGTCAAAGTACCTTAAATCAAATTTCTCTGGTGTCCCCACTGCAGGAAGTTGACGGGAGAAACTCTCCTGTTGACTTCCCTTACTCCTTGTAACCCTGTGAATTACCAAGGTTGTGGGGAGACCAGCAGAGTTTGATTTAGCGGGTCCTTACTAGGCCCACTAAATTGAACCCAAGAAGATCCATTTCTGGAGCATTGAGCTTCCAGTAAGTATTGACAAGGCCTAAGACATTTCATGAGAGGTGGAAAATTTGATTTGCAAATGTATCTTGGGGCAATAAAGAAAAGGCTGGGGGATGCATACCTACAGAGCTCTGATAATCAAAGTAATGGTGCAAATTAAACCTCAATCCTATGAAGGCACCCAGATGTGATATTGATGAGATTCCTGTCTATACCTAGACAGGTAGAGAGACACAGTCAATAACTCTTTTAAACAATAACTTTTGCCCAGTTAGTGGCCTTTCCTACAGGATCTGGGTAAGACATTCATTGGCCTTTTAGGCCTTGATCCTGCACCACTAAAGTCACTGAGAGCTATGCCATTGTCTGTCAGGGGTTTAGGATCAAGCCTTTAGGGCACACATCCTTTTCCAGTGTGGGAGTGCCACTGTCACTGACTTGCTGTGTGATCCTGGAAAAGTCATTTCTCCTCTCTGTTCCTTTCTTCTCCCTCCTGTAAAATGGAGATAACAATGGGGAGTTAAAGGATTAAGTGATGCATATACTGTAATCCTTTGAGAGAGCCTCAGGACCAGTGCTATATAAGTGCTAAGAATTATTAATAAACCGCTGTTGCACTAGGTTCAATCAGGGATCTTAGTAACTGGGGAAAAATCTTCTCCCTGCAGATTGATTGTTTGCTAAACAGGGAGACTGTTTTTCTGGCAGACAGTGATGAAGAATTGCAACACAGAAAGGAGGTCTCTGCTGAAGCTATTAATGATGGTTGGGGTAGTAGTAGCTTCTGCTTCTAAGGCCATATCTTTACTCCGTGAAAGATCAACGCTGCTGTGATTGATCTTTCAGATTTTGATTTAGCTTGTCTAGTAAAGACCTGCTAAGTCAAACTCGGAGGGTGCCCCCCCATCAGCAGCCAGTACTACTGCTGGGAGGAGTAAGGAAAGCTGGCAGAAGTGTTTGCTCCCATTGGCTCCCTGCCACTCCCACAGTGGGAGGCCAAAACTCGAATCAAGGTATGTTGACTCCACTTACATAATTACTGTAGCTAAAATTGCATATCTTGATTTAACCTTCCCCTTTAGCGTAGACCTGGCCTTACTTCTCCTAATTGTCTTTGTGAACTGCAGAAACAGAAGTAGCATTTACGAAGTAAACGCTTTTTGGTTGCTGCTAATTCCTGAGACATAGAAAATTGAGTCCTCTGAAGAAGAATTCAAGCCTATGCATGTGCCACAGGGTTATAATTAATCCATCACAATCAGTGCAGGACCATGATGAGATATTTGTGATCCAGGCCACCTTGTTGCTTTCACACTATGAATTTTTAATCGTACACATTTTTAGTCTATTACAAACGGTCACTTGTTTTGGGGGATTTTTCAGAATTAGAGCATTTAATAAGTTTGGCCTTTAACTTTCTTCAACCATGTCCTTTGATCCAATCTTATTATATATTTATAATGTTCATTTTAGTTTAGACTGACTCTCTAGTCCAGCACTCTTGGGACCTGACAGGTGCCAGACCTGAGAATTTGCTGACCCACAGGAAGTTAATATTGTCCAGCAAGTTCAGCGTTATCTATACTCCCACTGCTTACTGGGCTCTTAAAGGACATTAAGGGTAAATTAGAGCTAAATAACAGCACAGAACACTGATCCCCAGGACTAGTGGCTGTAAACAAACTTTATGGGAACACAGGAAACTTGGCCACACCCATGATAAGAGGACATCAGGCTAACTAAAATAGTGCTGGAGTACAGATGTTGCTGGACCAGAGAGAGCTGGATTAGAGAGGTACAACCTGTATTCCTTAAAGATCAACTAATACAGGGACCCCATGATAGCCCATTGTACTAGATACTGTATAGATTGCCCCTGAACTAAAGAATTTACAATCTAAACAAGCAAGACAGATAGGTCAGTGGAAAGAGATATAACATAGAAACAGATTCAACGGAGGGATGGTTTGCAAATGTGTTAGCTGCCTCATTGTCATTACTTTTATTTAATTTGAACTTGAGCCTTGCCAGAATGGTAAGCAGAAGTGAAAAGAATTCACAACAAAAATATAGAGTCAAAAATGCAGATATCTTAGTATACCTCTGACTGGAAGAAAGGTAGAAATCAGTAGCAGTGGAGGCTAATTTGGCTTTAGTACAAATGTCAAGACAAACTTGGTCTTTTTTCTCATCCTCACTGTATTTAGAAAATAGAATAGGCACTTCAGCTGTGATCTGGACAATGCAAGCTAAATTTCTTGAATGAACAGAGGTGAAAGTAACTTAAATTTCATACAGGTACTGTTGTATCCCCCTCCCCACAGTGAA